CTGAAGCTGGTCTGGGCATCTGGAGGCCTGGGGGGAGATGGAGGAGCCCAGCAGGGATGGGGGCTCCTTCCCAAGCCTGGCTATACAGGCTCCAAAGCAGCAAGGAGAAAACTGAGGGAAACCCCAAGGAGCCATTAAAAAACAGAACAAGAGAAAACAAACCAGTCACTTGACAGAATTCAAGTGTATCTATCCATCCACCTATCACCCACCCATCTATCCATCCACACATACACCCATCAACCCACCCATCCATCCATCTACCCAACCATTCATCTACCCACCCACACATACATACATATACCCATCCATCCACCCATCCACCCATCCATTCATACATACGGCCATCCATCCATCCATACATACATACATACATACATACATACAATCATCGATCCATCCACCTGTCCATACACCCATCCACCCACCCATCCACCCTCCCATCCATCCATCCATTCATACATATGGCCATTCATTCAGCCATCCGTCCATCCATCCATCCATACATACATACATACATACACCCATCCAGCCATCCATATACCCATTTATCCACCCATCCACTCATCCATACACCCATTCACCTGTTCATCCACCCACCCATCCATCTACCCATCCATCCATACATACATACATGCATACATACAATCATCCATCCATCCACCTGTCCATACACCCATACACCCACCCACCCATCCATCCATTCATACATATGGCCATTCATTCATCCATCCGTCCATCCATCCATCCATATATACATACATACATACACCCATCCAGCCATCCATATACCCATTTATCCACCCATCCATACACCCATTCACCTGCCCATCCACCTGCCCATCCATCCATCCACCCATCCATCCATCCATACATACATACATACATACAATCATCCATCCATACACCTGTCCATACACCCATCCACCCACCCATCCATCCACCCTCCCATCCATCCATCCGCCCATCCATACACCCATTCACCTGCCCATCCACCTGCCCATCCATCCACCTGCCCATCCATCCATCCACCCATCCATCCATCCATCCATACATACATACATACATACAATCATCCATCCATATACCTGTCCATACACCCATCCACCCACCCATCCATCCACCCTCCCATCCATCCATCCGCCCATCCATCCATACATACATCCATACATACAACCATCCATCCACCTGTCTATCCACCCATCCATCCATCCATTCGTCCATCCATCTATCCTCACATCCATCCATCCGTCCATCCATCCATCCATCCTTTCTTGTCTTCCTCCTCCTCTCTCTTGTCTCCTCCCTCTCTCTTCCTCTCCCCACCCTCCTTTCTTGGGAACATGGCTCTGTGATTAAAGCACAGCAGGAATCAATGGGAGTATCTCAGGGCTCTGTACTGGGTGCTGGACTTGGGAGTACAGGAAAGCTAAGTGCAAAGTCCCTGGCCCTCTGGAATGTCCCTCCAAGAAGGGGTCCCTCAACACAAGGCACAGTGGCTGTGAGCAGGGTGTGCTATAAGAAACCAAAGGAGACCAGCTCTCCTTTGTCTGAGTCCTCAGCTAGAGTCCTGCACAAGGACCGGGACCCGGATCCTTTATGTCACTGCTGCAGGAGTGGGTCAGCCTCCTGCCAAGTCCCTGCCCACTGCACACCCCTGGGATACACATGGATCCCTGCACAGAGGGGACAGGAGCCTCAGGTGGTGGCCACCAGGTGTGTTAGTCCATTCGTACGGCAGTAACAAAATACCCGAGACTGGGTAATTGATAAAGAACAGAAACTTGTTTCTCACAGCTTTGAGGCTGGTTTGGGGACGGGTGAGGGCAGCTCTCGGCTTCCAAGGTGGCACCTGTCTGAAAGGGAAGCGGACACTGCATGGGGCCTCTTTCACAAGAATCCACTCACAACGGAGGAGGCCTGTGACCTGAATCACCTCCCGAAGGCCCCATGTTGGACATTAAGTCCCAGCACATGGACTATGGAGGCACGTTCAGACCCCAGTGCCAGGTGGCCCCCACAGCTCTGGCCTTGCCACATCTCTCAGGCTCAATGACTTGTCCTCTGGACCTTGGATCTCTTCCAGGCCTGAGTGACATCAGAGTTAGACAAGGGATCCCCAGGCATGTCAGCGGGGATTTGCCAGAGCAGAGTGGGGGCTCCCGCTGCCTGGACGGACCAGTGCGAGTCTCCCACCGCTCCCGCTGGCAAAGCCTCCAGGGTGGGGTCAGCACCAAGCTTCATATTCCCAAAGAATGTGACACTAGGCAGGCCCTCAGGGGCACTCCATCCCCAGGTGCCCCCTTCAGAGAGGAGAAACTGAGGCCCAGAGAGGGGAAGAGCCTGTGCTTCAGCTCTCTCACTGCACACAGCTCCCCCATCAAGGGACCATGAGGCCCCCGATACACCCCCAAAAGGAGGGGGAGGTTCTGAATGGGAGACAGAATGAGCCCAGTGCTGGTCACAAGCCAGCACCCTGCCGTTTCCTGCTCAAGGCCAGGCCCACCCCTCCCGGGACGTGCTAGGCTGGTGCACACTCCCCACGCAGGAGTCACAGACCAGTAGAAGCCACCGAGTGTTGCCAACCATGAGCCCGTCCTGACCCAAACCCTGGTCCACCGGCCCAAGGGCAGCCCCAGGCCCTGGGACCATAAGGCGAGTAGCCATAGGCACTCGGCAGTTTCGAAAGAAAAAGGAAGGGGCTTCGAGTCACACAGAGAACGTGCTGCCCTGCGGGGCAAATCCAGGCAGCAGAGCAGCATCCCCAGCGACGTGGCTGCATGTCTAGTACTGTGGCCTTTCCATTTGTAAAACCATTTTGCTCACCCAGAATGCACCAGTAGCTCAAAGAGGCTCGGCAGGCAGCAACAGCGCTCTTGGGGCAAGCGTGGGGTGTGCCCTCCATGCATGGGCCATCCACCTGGTAAATCGGGGTGCTGGATGAGGGGACATTCTTGCTGCAAGGGTTTTTTGTTTTTGTTTGTTCATTTTTGATATCAGGGATTGAACCTAGGGGCACTTTACCTCTGAGCCACATCCCCAGCCCCTTCTTAAAAAATATTTTATTTAAAGACAGAGTCTTGGGCTGGGGTTGTGGTTCAGTGGCAGAGCGCTTGCCTGGCATGTGTGAGGCACTGGGTTTGATCCTTAGCACCACATAAAAATAAATAAAATAAAGGCATTCTGTCCATCTATAACTACAAGAAAGAAAGAAAGAAAGAAAGAGTCTTTCTGAGTTGCTTACCTCGCTAAATTGCTGAGGCTGAACTTGAACTCAACAATCCTCCTGCCTCAGCCTCCCAAGCTGCTAGAATCATAGGTGTGCACACCGCGCCTGGCAGGGGCTCCTGAGTCTTGGTCAGATAATGGCATTTGCTCACGGGTTCTATGTCATTATCAGACTAAGCCCAGAGCTTCCCTGGAAGCTCTTGGGGTTCTTCCAGAATATGTGAGAAGGAATGCATTCCCAGACCAAGTGGATGCTCAGAGGAACCGAGTGTGCTGGAGTGGAGGGAGTAGGGTCTGCAGGTGAGAGGACAGCAGCTCAGGGATCTGCTCAAACCCTGGGAGTGGGACACGGTGCAGGTGGGGGAGGAAACACTGAGGCTCTCTGGAGAATGTAACCATCGCTGAGGCCAGCAGGTAGGGAGCTCCCTGCATGAGTCTGCAACTTCTGCATGTTTGCAGATTTCCTAAGAATTTGTCTAAGGAAGTGTGATACTATTACAAAGTGTTGAGAAAATCTACACCAGATACAAAGTTAACAAACAAAGAGAAATTGTATTTATATATGCATGTAGACACATATAAATGCATGGCATGTATATAGTAGGTATAGACTACATGTTTATTGGTATCCAGTGTGTGAGCATGATATTCACCTGCTCACTCGTACATATGTGTGGGATGTATGTGTATGTGAGGTGTACATATTATGTGTGTATGTGTGTGACCTTTATACACATATATACATTGCACACACACACACACACTCACACACACACACACATGCTATAAGAAGCCAGGGCTGCTGACAGACGCCCTTATATAGTGCTTCTGGCACCCTCTCGGTGGCCCTAGGGATGACGTGTCCTTGCTGCCGTGGGTCTGCAGCCACCTGCCTCCTGCCTAGTCCCACGTTTTCCTGACCTGCCTAGCAGGAAGCCACCCCTGGAATTTGCTGAGTCAAACACAAGGAGTACTCTGCAATTTTTCTTTTCTATTACCACGGAAAATAGAGGGGAGAAGGTTGTGAATGTAGGAGATGGTTGTCTCGTGAGTCCTGAAGTCAGCGGCCAGCCTGAGCTGGGCGTCCACTGGGGCCTGTCAGGAGGGCATAGTTGCCACAATGGTCGTGGGGAAGTGGACGCTGGTTCCCCTCCCTTGAACCTGGGTGGCCCTGGCCTTACCACCTGCTGCTGCATGGCTGGGGGCCAATAGTGACCCTGCGGGCCTTCCCAGGCAAGGTCTGCAGCAGCCTCATGGCTTCCTCCTGGGCCTCCAGAAGACTTGCCGCAGACCCCGTCGGCCATGCTGTGAGGAAGCCCAGGCAGGCCCAAGGAAGAAGCCCCTGGGAAAAGGAAGCGCGGGCCGGGCTGGCCGCCCTGTATCTGCCAGGCATGAGACTGAGCCACTTAAAAGGTTACATCCCACCCACTGTCGCGGCGTGAAGCAGTGACAGCTACCCTCAGCTCTTCCCAAGCTCAGCTCATGATCAATCACAGGTATAAATGAAGCCTCCGCTTTAGACCACCAAGGGCTGGGGTAGGTTTCCCTTGGCAAGAGATCAGCAGGACAGGTGTTACTCTGACCTGAGAGACGGCACAGGCCACCAGTCCCCACCTGACTTTGTGCCCTGGTGCTGCACTGGGCAGTGTGGTGATGGAGGGGTGCTGGAGGGGTGCTGGAGGGGTGCTGAGCGGAGGCCATGAGACGCTGCCGCAGACCACCTGAGGAGACCCACTCCTGGCGCCTGAAAGAACACTGAGATCACACATTGGTTCCTGAGGCCCATGGGGCCATGAGAGGCCACGTCCACTCTTTATTCAAGGGGCTTGTCCATGGAGCACATCCAAAGTTGTCACTGGTATCTTCTCTTCTCCCCAAACATGCCAGAGCTCAAATAGCATAGCACTTAATTTTCAGAATGAATGAGATTTCTAAAGCATGCCAAATTGTGGGGCAAACAGCTCAGCCTCTGAAATGTTGACCCTTTTCCAAACCAGGATAATTTCCTTCCTGTACAAAGAAAAAATTAGATCAATTATTGGACACTTTAAAAGCACATACAAACAGTATGCAGAACAAACAGTAACCAGAGAGGACACTGGGCTCACGCACTGTCAAGTGCAAACACTCAGCCTCCAGCCCCTTAAAGTGCCAGGCTAGAGGTAGCACCTGCAGGACCCTGACATGCAGCTCTTGGGAGTGTCAGCATAATTTCTAGACACATGTACCAGTGTCTTAGATATTCTGTGACTGTGACAAAACACCTGAGGCTGGGTAATCTTATAAGGAAAACAAGTTTCTATAACTCACAGTTCTGGAGGATCAAGGACACAAGGCTGACATCAGCACAGCTCTGGAGAGGACCCCATGGTGGATGGCATCACAACAGTGGGAGCACATGAAAGAGAGAAAGATCACATCACAAAAGTCAGAGAGAGACTCTCCCTTCCAACAACACACCCAGTTTGCTAAAGACTTCCTACTAGGCCCCCACCTCTTCAAGCACCAGGGACCTAGCTTCCAACACATGACCCCTTGGGGGACTTGCTGAAACACACCCAAAACATGGTTGGAGTACCCAGAAGACCCAGTCATGCCACCAGGCCCAGCTGTCCTTCCTGTCAACTGTGAGTGGGATCCTTAAAGAAACCGCCTGTGTCAGTGTTGTTCATATCATGCTGCGTAACAAACAAGCCCCCACCTCTCAGGGACTAGCCCAAGGGTAGAGGGTCTTCCACTGGTTATAGCAGTCCCATGGCCGGTGGGCAACAGCAGCCCCCAATCTGGGATCTTGCTGGTATCAAAGCAAAGAGATAAGATGGCAGAATGCTGACCTGGGCAGCCACATATGTCACGTCCACCCCATTTCAATGGCCAGAGCAAGTCACGTGGCCAGGCCTAATAGCAACATGCAGGAGACGCAGAGGCAGGGTGGGGCAGCAAATATTTGGACAATAATGCAATCTACCAGGGGCCAACTGGATGAGGAATTGACCCACGGTGAGCCCTTCATGCCCGGCCAGGTCAAACATGCCAGCACCCCGAGATAAGCCACAATTATCAGTGGCAAGTTTTTTTGTTTTGTTTTGTTTGTTTTTTGGCAGTACTTGGGATTGAACCCAGGCTAGGCCTCTACCACTGAGCTACACTCCCAGCCCTTTTAAAATTGTATTTTGAGATGGGTTCTAAGTTGTCCAGGTGAGCCTTGAACTTGCCATCTTCCTGACTCAGCCTCTCAAGTAACAGGGATTGCAGGTGTGTGCCAGAGGGCCTGGCTACGTTTTGTCTTTTAATCCACCTAAAGAGAAGGTAGATGTGGTCCACAGAGGAGAAACACCCAGAAAACAGTGCTCTTCAAAAGAAACCCGCTCTGCCGTGAGGAGGGGAGACGGTGCAGCCACTTTGAAGCTGGCTCGGTGGTTGCTTACAAATCTTAACATGCTCTCAGCATTTGATCCAGCCGCCGTGCTCCTTGGGATTCACCCAAAGGAGTTGAAAACTTGCAACCACACAAAACCCCGCACACAGATGTCTCTAGCCGCTTTATTCAAAATTGCCCAAGCCCGCAAGCAACCAAGATGTCCTTCAGGGTGCTAGAGGATGGGAGAAGTACATCAGACCGAGGGATCTGGTTCAGTGCAAAAGGAATGGACTCTTCTGCCTTGCAAAGCCCTGGGGGAACTGGTCACCCACCACAAAGAGAAAGAAGCAATCGGAAAAGGCCACGCTTGCAACTAAGAGAGATTCTGGAAGAGGGACACAAGGAAGATGGTAAAAAGATCAATGATGGCCAGGGGTCTGGGGGTGGGGCAGGAAGGGGAGAAACGGGGGAGCAGGAAGGCGTTCCAGGACAGTGACATGCCCTGAATGATCTTGCACTGGAGGATGACACATGCCATTGAATGGGCACCAACAGCTAAAAGCGAACCCTAATGTAAACTAGCCACTGTTAGTAACAATGTATCATAAAACACAAGCAGAAAACAAACAGGGCACAGTCTCCTCAGATAGCATCAGGCCTGGGCGGTGCCCTAGGCTGGAATCCCAGAACCCCGGGAAGCTGAGACCAGGTGGAGGCCAGCCCCAGCAACGCGGTGAGACCCTGTCTCAAAATAAAAAGGGCTGAGGATGCAGCTCAGTGGCGGAGCAGCTCTGGGTTCAAACCCAGTCGGAGAGAAAGAGAGAGACGGTCAGGGAATAGCCTCGCCGAGTGGCCCGAGGCCTCGGGGCCGCAGGCAGGGCTGCTGACTGAACCGGATGGTGCTCTGGGGCCCGGCAGCCAAGGGTAGAAAGCAGGACAGGCAGAGGTCGGAATCCCAGCTTACATCCCAAAGAAGGGACTTAGGTCCTCTGTTCCCGCTTCTCTGGGGAGGCCGACGCAGCCTGGGAAGGGCCACTTCACACCACTCTAGGAACCCAGGAGGCTGCCTGAGTCTGAGTTCCTGCCCACCCCACCAACTCACCAGCTGTCCCGAGGGACAGCGCCCCTCTCCCATCCCAGCCCCAGGGCCTTGGCCCTGTTCCCTCTCACTCCCCCACCCCCGCCCTGCGGATGGGCATGTGTCACCTGATAGGAACTGGAGCAGGGTACCTGCGTGCCCCATGTCCGCACACGCCCCCTGCGCCTGACTGTTTGCCCTCACTGGTCCCCTTTGCGTGCTCCCCGGCCCTGTCTTGGGCTCACCATGCCACCTTGGCCGTGGAAGAGACCCCAGGAGCAGGGAATCGTGTTCCCTTCTGCGTCTCTGGTGCCTGGGGCAGGGCCTGACATGGGGAGGCCCACCACCCAGTACCTCTGCCTCAGCGGCCAGTGGCTTCCTGGCCCCTCCAGCCCCTCCCACAGGCTCTCTGGTTCTCTACCCAGCAGCCACCTCCCCTGGCTGCAGCCCCCCCAGGGGCTCCTAAAGACAAAATCTAACCTTTGACCCAGCCCAGGAAGGGACTGGATACCAGTACCAGAGAACAGGAAGGGGGAGGCGCAGAGGCAGGACCCAAAGCACACTCTCGCGCTGAGTAACGTGACAGTGACATGTGTGCTGGCCCCACAGCCACCAGCAGGCCAGCTCAGGCTCCTGGCACCAGGGCTGACTCCAAGTACCCCTCAGCCCCACTTCTCCTGCCTCACCCTGACCCTCAGACTCCAACACGCACCCATCCTCCCTCTGGGCTGGGCCCGGGCTGTTCTCTGGGGGACTTCCTGGGGCACCAGCTTGAGGCCTACCCACCACTGCCCAGGGAAAATCCCTCCCAGCATCACCCCTGTGGACAGCAGGCCCACGGTCTCTCTGCCCAGCCAGGTCCACAGGACAGGACAGCCTCTCAGTTTTACCCTGGATGCCCAGGGAGCGGGGCCAGCTGACCCACGCGGCTGTTAGCTGCGAGCCCGCTGCCACCCTGGGTAAGGACTGGGGCACATGCTGATCCTGCTGTCATCAGCAGCTCACATGAAAGAAGGGCTTTCCAGCAGTGCCATGGATTGTCACCGTCCCCATGACTGTCTTCATAAGTCACGGGACACCAGAGCTGGAAGGCACCTCGGACATTCTCAGCCTCACAGGAAAACTGAGGCCCCAGAGAGTAAGATTTCCTGGGGTCGCCTGGGCCAGAGTCACACTGTGACACACACAGGGCACAATCACAATGCTGTTTCCCTATGGAGGGTGGTCTCCGGGGGCGGCTGCGGGTTCCCGCTGGAGTAGGAGTTGCACTGGGAAATGGCAAAGGCCGTGCCCACCTTTGTGTCCCCACACAGCCCTCCCTGTTTTTGAGAAAGCCGGTCAAGTAACATCAGGAGGCAAGGCAGCAGGAGAGCACCCCAGGTCCGCAAGCCCCGGGGCAAGGGCGGTGAGAAGCAGAGAGGGGGCAGAGGCCTGGCGACCCTTCCTATGGGGGCTTCTGCAGAGCCGCGTAAGTGGACCTGAGACAGTACCATCGGGATTCTGTCACCACAAAAGCCACTCACTTGGGTCCCCCTTAGCTCCACTGCCTGTACTACAACTTGTCCCCCACTTCAGAGGACAGGGCTTTGCTCTGGCCACCGGGTGGGTGTGGGCCCCTCTCCCCAGGTCTGCTCAGGTGTGATTCCCAGGCCACCACAGGCCAAGGGCTTCTGAAGGCATCAGGGCCTGCCACTTGGTAGGGATGGGAGCCTTTCCTGGGGCCTTTCCCAGGGCCTGGCCCCTGCAGGGTCTTGGGCAGCTGGGGAAGGGTTAACTGTACACCACCCACACATCTTGACAATCCCCGTCTTGTCCAGTGCCGCACGCAGCCCATCATGCCCACTGCTCTCCCTTCCCACCTCAGGGCACCAGCAGAACCCGCTGTGGGTCTGACTTTGCTGTGTCCCATCACCCTCTCCATTGTGAGCTGATTTTCAGAGGTTTATAGGTCAGCTATAAAAAATAAACTTCCACTTTTGAATCAAAGGGAGCACTTTGAAACCAGGAGGCCATTGCTGTGCCCAGCAAGTGTGATGGGGGCAGGTGACGGAGCCTTGAGTTGTCCCACCTGTTCACAGGCCATCCTCCCCTTGTCATTGCTCTGCTTTTCTTCCATCAAGGCCATAATGTGGCCCACTCTTGGGGTACCCTGTCCCATGAAACTGGGGACAGTTGGGGCTCCACTTTGAGAAGGACCCCAAGGGCACTGCAGTCAGCAGTGTAGGGTCTTATCCAATCCCTGCAGGTACCCATTAGTGGTTCCTTGGAGAAAGGGAAGTCATCAACTGGGACATTTGTCTTCAAGCCCAAAATGCAGGGCTGAAGCTGGTGAGTGTGCCGACCAGGAGGAAGCCCCCTCCCTTTTCAACAGGCTTTACTCTGCCAAGGGCCAAGTGTTTGCCCTCCACTCCCCCACCCCCCCCCCCCCCCCCCCCCGCGTGTTCTATCTCCCCAGCTTTGGGGGGACACGATCGTAAAAGCACAGTAGACTGGAGGTGCAGCATTTTTGGCCTCTTTATTTAGAATTTGACGGATGTGGAGCTGGGGCAGTGGTACAAACGGCTCGGGAACCACTTTTAACAGATTTGTCTTCAAGTTTAAAATACAATGATTATAAAAGAGCAAAAGCGTGAAAAGGCTGCAAGCTAGGTGCATATGTGTGGCAGCTAATTTGTGAGCGACCCCCCCCCTCCCCTAAAGCCCGCTATTCAATTTACATTTGTGGATAACTGAGAAGGATGAGATATAGTGCCTTTGGCATGACCAATGACCGGGCAGGGCATGGTGGAGATGCCCATGCCCGGACATAAATAGAACATATAAGTTAGTATAACTTTTAAAAACTTTTTGTACAAATATACATGGGTTTTTTTCTTTTTATCCTTTTTTTTCTTTTTTCTCTTTTGTACTTTTTTTTATACTTTTCTCTTTTTTTTTTTTTTTTTTTTTTTTTTTTTTGCAGAGTTTCAGCAGAGATTAAACATTTTATATAAATGACTCTTAAAGCTTTACACCTTGGGACCAGTGTACTCCTGTGCAGATACATCTTGATATAGAGACGTCATTACACATTGCACACGTTTCAGATTTTTAAACACGAAGCCAATCGCTGCTCTGCGGCAGCCGCCGCCGGTTGCTGCTACATGTACGGTCCCAGCCGAGGCCCAGCTGTCTTCCAACATCCGCCGCCCAGGAATTCTCAGGGCTCTAAACTGGAAAGGAGAGGGAATTGTGAGCAAAGACTGCGGGGACCCCGCGGAGTGGCCCTCCGCGGCCCCCGGTGGCGCCGGACTCACCTAACTCATCGCAGACGCTTGCGCGGGGTCTGCTCCACGGCGCCCACCCCAGGAGCCGCGCTAGCAGAGGGACACCCCGCAGGGACATCGCCCGACGACTTCTCAGGCGCAGATCTCTTGCGCTTGGCGAAGAAATCTGCTGGCGACATCGCGCGGCGGATCAGGGCGGGGTCGGCGGGAACCCAGAGAGGGGGCCGGGAAAAGACTCGGGGCGCTCGGGCTGGGGTGGGGGCGCCGTCCCCGCCCGCGCCGAGGTCCGCGGCGGGTCAGCTTTGTTTACGTCGCCGCGCAATGTGCTGTGTAAGCATTTCCCCTTGTCCCGCGGCCAAGCCCCCCGGGGCTGCCGCCGCACTTAACCCCCTCGGCGCCGCGTTTTTTTGCGCCGGACGCGCCTGGGACAGACTCCTGCGGCCGGAGCCGAAACCCTCGCTCTGACAGGGTCGGGACCGGGCTCAGCCCCCCGTCGCGCTCTCTCGATCCGCTAGAGACTACCACCGACAAGCGAGGAGGGGCTGCGGACTCAGCCGCGCCCTTCGCGCTGCGGGCCCTTTAACGCCACGGGAGGAGGCGGGGACCAAGAGAGGCCCCCGAGGGCTGGGGAGAGACCGGCCGGCCGGACAAAGCGGGGCCGGGCTGGACCGGGGCGGGGCCGCCAGATACTTACCAGAGATGAGAGGCCCCGACAGCTTCTTGATCGCCGCGCTGCTGTTAGCTCCCGCTGCAGCGGTGCCGGCCGCGGGACGTCCCGGAATCCCCGCGTGCATCTGGTCAGCGAGCGGCTCCTGGCTGCGCTGGTTCTCATCTGGCTCGGCGCCGTCCTGGGGCGCCGCGTCCGGGTCCGGGTCGGCGTCAGAGGCCAGGTCTGAGGCCGAGACCGTGGCCTGAGCTGGTGCCGGGTCCGGGTCCGGGACTGGGGCCGGGGCCGGGTCCAGGACCTGGGCCGGGGCTGGGGGCGGGGTGGGCGCCGCCGCCGGGGCGCTAGGTGACTCAGGCGCCTCCTCGAGGCCGTCGACGGACTCAGTGGCCGGCGGCTCAGGGGACGGGATGACAGCCACGGCCACCGGGGGGGGCCGGGGCGCCAGCAGCAGGCGACAGCGCCCCACCTGCACCGTCTCGCGGTAGAAGGCAGGCACGGACTCGCTGTCCACCTCGGTCCACTGCAGGCGCCCAGGGCCCCGCAGCGGCACGTCCTGCTGGAAGTTGAAGTCCCAGCGGTTCTGGTCCTCCGCGTTCAGCTCCGCCAGGCGCATCTGCAGCTCGCGGCCCAGCTCCTCATGGTCCACCGGCCCGAAGAGGCTACGGCAGGCGCTAGTGCGCACCAGTACAGGATAGGTCTCACCGCTGACGAGGCGCTCCATCTCTGCTGTGCTGTGGAGGTACACGTCGGACTTGGCCAGGGGCTCTGTGACCCCGGGCAACGAGAGAGGAGAGGGGAGCGAGAGGAGGAGGAAGAGAGGCGAGGAGGAGGGGGGAGGCTGGGCAAAAGTGGGACCCCGCGAAGTAGGGGTCTAAGGGACGCGGCGGGAGTGCGGGCGCGGGGACTACCTGGCTGTCTGGTGGTGGACGGCTTCCACGGCTGGTTCGCTGGTCCTGTCCGGCTGCGGCCGCGCCCCCTCAGAGCTGCCTGACTGCTCGCTTGCTCACTCGGGCCTATTCGGCACCCCTCGAGCACAGAGCACTTGGCCTGTGGAACGCCCAGCCGCCTGCGCCCCCTTTATACGCGCGGGCCCCACCCCCGCGCGCGCGGGCCCCGCCACGATTAGCATAATGTAGTATTTTCAGTTTCAACAACACCGCGGCGATTGGCCGGCGCCGCGCCGCCCCGCCCCCCGCAGCCCGGCCCCCGCGCGCCGCCCCATTGGCCGCGCGCACACACCCGGGGACGGGCGGGGCGCGCGGCCTGGCGTGGCTGATTGGCGGCCCCGCGAGCGCGCTGCAGCGGGCGGGGGCGGGGCGCGAGTTAAAGGGCGCTGCGGGCGGTAACGTGACACCGCGGCGCCCCGCCCCCTCGCCCCATCCCCCCCCCCGCCCCCTCTCCCGCCGGCTCCTTTGTCTGCAGGCGGGGGCTGTGGGGCGGGGGTTGTGGGGCGGCGGCGCGGGCGCCCCCTCGGCGAAGCGGTGGGCACCGTCCCCCGCGGGCCCGGCGTCCGGCCAGGTCCCTCGGGCCCCTGCTGCCCGCGATCGCCACTGAGCCTCCTGTGCCAGCTGATGGGCTTCAACCCGCCGCTGCCAGTGCGTCCCTGGCGGGAGCAGGACGGGGTCTTGGGCAGTCTTTGGCGCTCGAATTTGTGCCTGCTTGGGAGGGGTCTGCGCACCTGGATCCTAGTACACCTGCTGGCCCCAAGGCCCTCGAGCGGAAGGCGACGACAGGAATCAGTTCCCTTCCTGAAGGGCCAAGTGGGGAACACCTTGAGAGCCTGCCGTCGTTCTCCGGCTCTTCCGAGGTGGGGTCTGGAGCCCGATATGTGGGCCCAGTAGATGGGACCAGGCTGTGCCCATCATGTCACTGACCACTGACCCGTTCCTCAGCCTCCTTGGGATTGGGTCTGACCAGGATCTGCCTGCCCTGCGCTGGAGGCTTTTGGACAGGAGAAAAGGAAGGACCTCCAGAGGTCACCTGGAAGAGCCTTTGAAGGCCGTGCCCCTCTCCCACACAGCTCCTTTGGGGGCACGCACACACACTCCCACCAGAAAAGACACCAAGGAAGACCATTATTTTCTGCCACCTTCCTTTGTCCAGCTGGCTGTGGGGCATGGACCAGGAAATGCCTGGACTCCCTCACTCCACAAGCCAGGAGCAACCCAGGTGGGGAGCCAGAACTTTCAGGTCCCCACTGGAGGTCCCAAGAGAGCCCTGAGCTCTCAGCCCTTTCAGGCTGAGAGGTCTCTGGGAGGGAGGGAAAGTGAGGCTCACCCACCCGAACCAGACTCCCTTCCAGAGTCAGATGGGTTGCAGGGAAGGGGGTGCTGCGTCAACATGAAGATGTGGCCACAAGTGGTCTTCTGAGTTTTGAAGCCAGGAGCAAACTGAACAGGACAAGGGCGTGTGCCCAGAGTGACACCATGCTGGGATGGCAGTACCAAAGGCAGGGATTTGTGTGGACTGCTTTATTTTTCTCTGTATGTTATAGTTCTTATTCCCTACAGGCATTGATGTCAAAAGTGTTTATCTTTAAGGAAATAAAGAGAAGCTAACCAAGGGACCCCAGAACCCCTGGAGCAGGGCTGCTATCAAGTGGCCTGAGGTCAGTAGAAGGCAGGGTCTTATTCAGTCCTTTGCAGAGACTGACTTTCCTATAGACCCTGGGCACAAGGCCACACTGGTTAGTGACCATCTTGTCCCCAGGGTCTCCTAAAAGGTCTGAATGCCTGGGCGTCAGCGGTCAAGGAGGGCCGGTTGGAGAACCCCATCCAGCCTGCAGCCTGTGCCAAGAGCTCCTCAGGGTCATCTTGTGCGTCCCTCTTGCTCGGACCTTGTGGTGCTCTGTTCAGTGCAGCTCCCATCACCCCAACTCCACCACCTTTTGGGGGAGGTACCCCAGGAGAAGGAGCAGGCTGGGACCCCTGGGCTGCCTGGCTTTCTGGTTTTCATTCAGTTCCCACTTTTATTTTTCTACTTTACCCGTTTAATTATGGAGTTAAACCAGGTGCTGCGGGACTCCCCCTCTGTCAGCCACATTACAGCACGGGAGGTGACTGTCTCTTCTAGAGTCTGTGACTCTGAATTCCATCAAGGATGGTAACAACAGGCTTGTTAAAGCTGTTCCTTCTTCCACCCGAGGAAGGGGCTCACCTGGACAAAGACATGCAGGAGCTGGGGAGGGGGGGCTGGGCATCAAGAGGAGGCCCAACCCTCCACCCCAAGGGGCCTGGAAGCGAGCGAACATCTGTCTGTGTACAACAATCAAGTTCTATTTTTGTAATTAAAAATACATTCAAAGGAAAAAGGAAACAAAAAGAACAATCTTTGTACTCCGTTGCTGCAGAAAGCTGAAGTTGGGGGTGGGGGTGCTGGAACCAGAAGGTGGGCTGTGCTCATCTTGGACAGGTTTCCTGGGCTACTCTAGTACCCCGAATCCTGCTTACACAGGAGTGGGACTCCACTTATAGAAAGTGGTGAGCTCTAGGGTCCCCTGCCTGGCCCCTGCCAAGCAGTACGCCCGTTCATCTCTTGTGACTCTCCAGATCCCACGCAGCAAGCGTATGACCCCAGCTGTTTGCTCTCCTCTGAGCCCCCGGAAAGACCACAGTCCCCAGTCCTCTGTGTCCATTTTGGCCAGGAATCGGTTCGCTTCCAGGTGTGGCTGTCCAGAATATCAGAGCAGTCCTTCTGCCCCCTCTGCTGGCCAGATGGGGACCTGGGGACAGCTGCAAGGCTCCGGAGCAGCCCCTAGAGGGGCGGGCCATCGATGCCACGGTAGGCACACCCACGTTACCTGGGGCGTGGGGGTGGGGTGGAGTGAGGAGTAGACTTCAAGTGCATCTCCAGCTGCTGAGGGTCAGGCCTTTTGGTCTCTGGGCTGGCATCACAGGGCAGGCATACATTCCAGCGGCATGGTCAGCTGGGGAGACAAGCTGCGGAGAAGTAAAACCTTGCTCCAGAGCCCAGGCAGTCAAGGCATGGCACCCCCAGGCAGCCCAGTTCTCTCTCCCGGCTCTTGGACCTGATCCCTGGGCTGTGGTGCAGGCAAGCTCCAGATGCAGCCCCAGATCCAGCCCCACCCCACCCTCCTGGAGTGTGGTTCTTAGGGGAGACTGGGGCAGTTAAACCTGCTCAGTTCCCCCAGGCGCCACCCACGTGCCAGTCCTTACAACACCTCCATGTCTGTCAGTCCCTGTTGTGGGCCCATCTTTCAGCTTCAAGAAGCTCTCAGCGTACTCTTCTGCCATTGAGCGGCAGAGCTGCAGACCCAGAAGATCCGTACTGCGGCCTCCTGCTGCCCCCTGGTGTCCGGCCTCTGCACCAGCACCTCACCTGGCCCCTGGGTCCCCCTTCTCTGTGGGCTATGTCCTGGCATGATCACACACCCCACCAAGAATGTGTGCTGCAACTGGCTTCCCAGGGGAGGGATGGCTGTCCCAGAGCCTCAGGGAATCCAAAGTCTGGAAACATGGGGCAATTGGCCTGGGGGCCCTTCCAGGGGGTGACCAAGGATGGGGCTGGGACTTCACCCTCCTCTCTGACCCTTGGTCAAACCTGCCTCAGGCTGGTTCCCTGGATCCCGAGACCCTGAGCTGTCTTTTCAAATAAATTAAGGCCTTGAAGAATTTTCCACCAAGCCACTGGCCACATGTCAGCCATCCATCACAGAAGGCTGAAGACTGCAGGCGCCAGGTCAAGGCAAAAGAGAGAAGGCCAGGGGACGAGGCGTCTCACACCACTGCTTCTGCAAGCCCACTGGGGGGCCAAGCACCTGCCCAATGGCGGACATCCTGCAGTTCCCCAAGGGTCCTGCACAGTGTGCCCTGGGGCTGCCCACGACTCCTACCCAGGTGGTGGTGCCCTTCCGAGGAGGCTGGAGGCACATGATAAATGAGGCAATCCCTAGCTGCCCCAATCCAGTGCCCGCTCAGGACCCTGCCTTGGCCCTTTAATCCTTCCACTACTGGACAGGAGGAAGGCCTTTTCATACCTGTTCTGCAAAGGAGGAGACAGAGGCGCAGGGAAATTAAGCTAACTGCCTGAGATCTCGAGGCGGCGCTGCGACTGGAGGTGGGACCTGCCTTCCCTGTGCTGCGACCCTCTCCTGGGCTTCTGTGAGCAAGGGTCCTGGTAGACCTCGGCTGACAGGCCCCCATCCAAGCCCTGGAGCCAGGGGTAGACAACAGTACAGTGTAGCCTCTGTCCAGGGTCGGCTGGCCCGGGAAGGACCACGTCTTTGGCCTCAAGCTGCATCACTCGGCAGCCTGTGCCTGGATCAGGCCCGGCTCCTCTCTGCCCCCCGAGCCTGCACCTTCTGCTTCCTAACCCGGGTGGGAGTCGGCCGGCGCGGAGGCCCAGGGGTGTGGGGAGTTACAGATTAACCCGCCGGCCCCCAGCAGCAGGCAGCGCCGGGCGCGCACTTGGCGGGGGCCCAGGCCAGGCGCCGCGCAAACGTCCCTCCCGCACCAGTTCCCGCGCTCGGCTCGCCCCGCCCCCAGCACGGGCTGTTCTCGGGGCCGCTGCCAGGCACGTCCGCCGCAGGTGCCGGCCTCCCTCCGGTGACGCGGCCACATGCGGCACGAGCTCCGATTACAGGGGCTGCCTTGTGCTTGGGGTCCCGGGCCAGGGGTCCTCGCTTCCCAGCGAGCGGGGGAGGGGCCGGGCTGGCCCCGCGGGGAGGACCGGCGGCAACATGGAACAGCCGCGGACAGGAGCCGCTCCCAAACACGCGCAGGCAGCCGCCCCGGGGATGGAGGAGGGGCTCCTGGCCCCGGCGTGCAGGGGGCTTCCTGGTTTCAGCACCGAGTGTCCCTGAGCCCTAGGACTTCAGGTCATCCTAGGCCCCAGAAGACCCCTCTCAGGGCTGGGGAAGGTCCAAAGGGCACCCCTACCCCCAGGCGTTCCCTCCACCCCATGGGCAGGACGCAGACCGCAGGGGTCCCCCCACTCTGCTCACTTTGCCAGAGAAAACAAAATGGGGTGCGAGCAGATCCCTTGTCCCTGTGCCCCCGTGTCCTTGTCAGAGCTAGTGGGGACCCTGGAGAATCAGCATCTCCTGCCCACACGGTGCAGGACCCCAGGCCCTTCCCGGCTACCCACCTCCCCCTCTACTTCCAATACCACACCACAGTGTCCAGAGGAGGCCAGGACCTGGCAGGGCTGAGGGGAGGACACCTGAGGGGCCCCATCTCCACCCCAACCTGCCCATGCAGGGAGGGGCGGCCCAGGCCCAGGCAGTAGTTACGGAGGATCATGGGGCAGAAGACCCCACCACCAGTCCCTGTTAGGACCTCAGAAGTGAAGGGGGCTTCCTAGGCCTGGGGGGCTTTATTCTAGACTAGCGTTGAGCCCCTATTCTAGTGTAACCTCGCTTAATCCTGTCACATCCCTGTGCAGGAAACAGGCCAGAGAGGTGGGTGACCTGTCCGGGGTCCCACAGGAGGGCGAGAATGAGGAAGGCGGTCCTTGACGGCTGCCTGTGTGCTGGGAGGGGCCCATCACTCCATCATTCCCGCCTGCCTTGCGCTGCGCCCACCTCCTCTAGTCCAGTCCTGAAGGTGAAGAGCAGATTGCCAGCCCAGGAGGCGACCGTAGCAGTGTCCTGGCCCGCTCCCAGGACTGGCTTCATCCTGGCCAGTCCTTCTGGACGTGCAGCAGGCCAAGGACTGCTCAGTCGAGTGCTCAGCAGACGGGGCACCCATCCCTTCTGTACCCCAGCTAGCAGGGGAGCCTGCCTTAAGGCCTCCTGCTGCAGAGCCTGTAGCCCTAAGGGCCAAAACTGGACACCTGCTGCCACCTGGTGTTCTGAAACGGAATGGCAGTAGGAACACAGCAGCTGGCCCCACTGGGGACACCCTGCCCAGCTCCCTTGTGCCTCACACCTGTGGGTGACTTGACAGGGGCCTTGCTCCCTGTGACCTTGAATCCCCTTGAGTCTAGGATGGGATTCTGCCCAGCGTGTCCAGTCGGGGCTGCAGAGGACTAAAGCCTCATTTTTAAAAAGCCACAGCACATTAGGTGCGGGGGGGCTGTCGCTCACACCTCCTGTCCCAGAGGGCAGGCAGGAAGCTAAGGAGCGTGGAGGGGGGGGGGGAGGAGACAGAGAGCAGCACTAACACCTGAGAGGGACCCACACCCAAACAGGAGGAAAACCAAAAGCAGCCCCACCGCCGGCCACCCTCCCCTGCTTTCCCTCGGAGCCCTCAGCTCTCCTCTCCTTCCTTCCCTCCTCCCAGGCCCTCCTCTTCCTCTTCCTGCCCTGTCCCCACAGCCGTCCTGCCTCCCGTGCCCTCTGCCCTGCTTCCCTCGCCACAGCTGCTTCCCAAGGCCCCCAGGCCACCACCAGGCGCTCGGAGGAGACCTGGGCCTCTGCTCACCTTCGCCCGCCTGGCCCTGGCTGTCACCGTCCCAGAGTCTGGGTGACCATGTGGGGACACACACTCACACACCTTCAGGTACAGAGCCCAACAGTAAGGTTCCAGTGGCCTTCGGGACAGACGCAGGCCCTGCCAGGCAGCACCCCCTGCTGAGGAGGTGGCCATGCATGGGCTCCCAGGGGCAGTGAGGGCCCCAGGCTTGCCAACACAGGTGCCCAGAGAGTGAGCAGGGCAGGATGGTGCTGGAGAGGGTGCAGGGGCCAGGGAGGGACAGGGCTCCAGCCCAGGGACTGACCCCTCCAGAAAGGTGTCAGAAACACTTTAGGGCACCTGCCCGGGAGGGGAGCAGGACTCACTGCCTGGCAAGGGCACACCTGGGCGCTGTGGGGCTGGACGGAGCTGCTGCCTCTTGCTGGCTGCTGCTTAACCTCTCTGTGCCTCTGCTTCCCCCCTGAGGCTTGGGGACCGAGTAGCTGGTTTGTGTCGGGTGCCGCAGTCCTCCCCAAGGGTGTCCAATGACTTTCCTCCTCATCCATCTCCCCTCCAGCCTAGAGGTGGGCAGGACACTGACCAAGGGCCACCACCACCCACTGTATCAGCACAAACTGGACATTGGCCTAGTCCTGGGGATGACTCAGACACCAACAGACACTTACGGGGTCACACATTTTCCTGCACTCAACGCCTGGTCAAACCCAGAGGCCCAGAATCCAGGGGTCCCCGGGAGACTGCCTGAGTGTCTCTGGTGGGTGGTCTGCATTCAGGCCCCCTCCGAGTGCAGGCAGGCCTCTTCCTCCTGATGCTGCCCTGGGCAGGCCACCTGTGATGTCCCGGTCCCTGGATGCTGGTCACATCCAGCTGCTGCTGGTGCCATACCCTCTGTGCCGGGCAGCAGCCTCCTGGGCTCTTCAGGTGCAAAGTATCTGATTTAGTCCTCACAAGCACCCGAGGACGCAGGGAGCAGTGCTGTCCCATGTCACAGATGGGAAGACCAGGTTGGACAGGACCAGAGCCTTGCCCAGGCCTGGCAGTCAGTGGGATGCCAGCCCAGAGGGGCCAACTGCAGGGCCCTGCACCTACGCCTGGCTCTGTGGCAAGTACAAACCTGACACAGAATGTTCTCTCTGACATGCGGGTGCTAACTCACAGGGGCCGGGGGAGACTCGAGGGTCTTCCCATGCGGCGGGGGGGGGGGGGGGGGGGGGGGGGGGGAGGCAGAGCAAGCAGGAAGGCAGAATGAAGCGGACACTGTCACCCTCTTGCATGTGTAACTGCACATCCATGGGATCCTACTCCATGTACAACCAGAAGAATGGGAAATTATACTCCATTATATATGATGTATCAAAGTGCATTCTACTGTCATGTGTAACAATTAAAACAAATTTTTTAAATTATTAAAAAAAAAAAAAACCCTGCATAAAGCTGGCTCCTGGGGTCATTTTGTGTTTGTTTGTTCTGTGCTGCTGGGGATGGAACCAGGGCCTTGTGCCTGTGAGGCAAGCACTCTACCAACTGAGCTGTGTCCCCAGCCCACTCCTAGGGTTTTAAAGAGT